AAAAAAAAAAAAAAAAAACAATTATCATCGAAATATTATTATATGGAATAGGATATATTCTGCTACGCCCCGTTTTTAAATAAAGAAATATATTTAGCTTGGATACTTTTGCCAGTCGATATCGTGCTCATGATTGATTAAAAAGATACAAAATCGAATACGCTTTTTAGCAATTTAAGCTTCGAAGCAATTTGCATTGATTAAGATAACCAATAACGGAAACGCATNAAAAAAAAAAAAAAAAAAAAATAGAAAAATAGAAAAAGAAATATATCCAAGAAGGCAAGATGAATTGGCGAATATAGTATCCGCGGAAGGACTCGTTTATTCGGCATACAAACTACGTACATATAATAACTTATTACTCCTTTTTTATATGTATCTATATTATTATATATTTTCTATTCTCTCTCTCTCTTTCTCTCTACTGCACATACGAAGCTTCGTCTCGTCACTTGAATTTTTCTGAAAAGTAACTATGATCGTGTGTCATGCAATTGTGTTTGTCGTGCATGCGCTTGTGTATCGTGTGCGTGTATCGTGTCTTCGTGCAATATGTTGTGCGTCGCTTTAACACGTACAGGGTGTTGAGAAAAAGTCGAGGATAATAATTTATTGTTGAAAGTTGCTTGTATAGATATCGTTGTATAGATCGCTTTGATTCGTGATTGTGATTTTTTTTTTTTTTTTTTTTTTAGAAATTTTTCATTTTAGATTTTCTGATGATTTGTACGTTATTATTCTTATCCTCGTTTTCGTACCAAGGCTTAAGCGCTTAACGTTTTGGGCAAATTTAAATTTTCCATGCTTTTTATTATGCGCGAGCGAAAAGTGGCAAAATTAAATCGAGTAGATTCGAAAAAATTGTAATTTTTACATAAAACGCTTAATTATTTAGAAGCTTCGATGCTAATTATTTATTTTCTATCCGTACTTGTTCGTATTTGTGTATATTTTTATATTCAACTTGCTCTTTTGAATTTTTGTTTTTTTTATTATTTCAATTGCGCTTTAACAAATTTAATTATAATATTAAATTATCTATCTTTAAGGGAATATATGTACGTACCTTTTTTATTATTTTTTCAAATATATTTCCAATATATAATAATGCGATTATTTTTTTTTTTATTGAAAATCGATATAAAATTAGTTTAGTAGAGGAATGGAGATAAACGGATAAGTGGTTATATAAAAAGTTGGAGATAAAAAAATTTTTAGGCTCACGCTTTTTCCGGATGTTAATCATTACTAATATTCTTGATATTGTTAACATCCTGTACGTACAATCTGAATCGACGATGATGATGGCTGAAACAATTCTGCTTGAACGTTTCGAAAAATATATAGAATTAATAATAACTTCGATATTAATCGTTATGATATAAGCATTTTTTTTTCCAACAAATTTCTTTTTAATTTTAACCTATGATTCTCGTTAATTTACAATTCGTTCTAGATTAATATTCCAATATTGCACAAATCTTCAACTAGAAATCACATAAAAGGAAAAAAAAATTAGATATTTTTCCATAAAAATTCCATTTCCTTCAAAAATTTTTAATATGTATAAATTTTCAAATTAATTTCCTCCCGTAAAAATTCGCAAATTTATGTTATGGAACGTTAACCGTGATGAAAAACCACATTTCAACTAATCAAAATTCATTATACTCACAATTTCCGCAATCGAGAAACCGCAATTCGATTGGTCGAAACTCAAACTAGCGTATTAACAACTCTAACCACTTTAAAACCGCATTTCAATTGATCCGAATTTACACAGTTCCCTCTTATTTCCAGGGACTACGTACTTCGCGTATATTACACGTATAATATAACTTTTATTACAATCGTACGTGTCGAGAGATGTCGCGCGAGAGCAGAATCGTTTCACCGTCGTTTCACTCGGTATACATACACGTGTCGCCATTTTATTTTCGCATCGGCCTGCAAATGCAAAAAGGCGAACGCCTCCTTGGAGAACGAGAATTTATGCTCGTCGGCTGTTCCAATACTTCCGCTACCATCCTCCTTTCCCTCCCAACCGATTGTTTCCTCGATCTCTGATGCGAAATATTTATCCGCCTTTCGTGCTGGAAGAACGTGTTTAAAAACGCGACTTTTCATCATTTATTTTTTATTATAATTTTTTATATATATATATATATTTTTTTACTTTTATGCGTTTCTTCATGTACATTCGAAAAGTTATTTACATATACGTATAAAGTTATTTACGTGGAATTGAATATAATGGTTTGGGATAGATCTAATCTCTTAATCTTTTTTTTTTTCTTATTGATTTTATATATTTGCATCTTTTTATTTTTGTTCGTTTTTGGCGCGCTTTCCAATCGTGATATTAATTTAATTAATCTCTTATTTTAATATTTTCTTTTTTCGATTTCTTGTATTCGTTTTTCATATTTCTTTGTTTTTAAGTATTTGGAATCAGTGAATATAATAGTTTAGACTCGAACCTAACCTCTTTTCACTTTTTTCTCGAATTCTGTTTCATTCTCGATTTTTATTTAATGTCAACATATAAAATGTAGTATTACATAAAATATAATAGTTTAGACTCGAACCTAACCTCTTTTCACTTTTTTCTTGAATTCTGTTTCATTCTTGATTCTTATTTAATGCCAATATATAAAATATAGTATTACGTAGAATATAATAGTTTAGACTCGAACCTAACCTCTTTTCACATTTTTCTCGAATTCTGTTTCATTCTCGATTCCTGTTTCATATATAAATTATATTTTTTTTTGAGTTGTCAAATACAAATTAATTAGAATAAAGTATCAGACATATTATTCGAACATCGAAATTTTTTACTCGATATCGCGAATACAGCGGATACGTCCAGAATCATAAAACTTTCTTCATAAAGGTTTCACGAGCCGACGAAACTACGTTGATTACAGGGATTTGATGAACTCGCTTTCCAAATTTTCTTTCCGGAATCTTTCTTAAGTGCTTAAAAGGCTGAAATGTGACGTTAACCGTGACTTTATGTTGCCAACCTCAAATACCATAATTTGAAAATTGATAGTGACCCACTTTTGTCATCATTGTCAGGAAACTCGTTTCGTTTTCGACGTAGCCGTGGACGATTGCGGACGTGTTTGTGAAAAAAAGAAAAAAACAATTCGATAAAAGTAAAGTAAAAGGAATTCAGCCTCTTATTTCATCTTTACCGGTACGGTAAACAATTCGTTTTCTCCACTTTCTTTTTCCCCGAGAATTCCTTATTTTTATTAATTAATTTCTGAAAATTTAGTAACTTTTTTTTAATTATTTTTTTCCATTTGCTTGGTTTTTAAGATATAAGTAGAGAGTTGTAATTAGATTTTTTAACGAAAAAAAATTTTTTTTCTTGCATTTTTTTTTTGTAATAAAAAAACATCAAAAGCAGAGGTAATTACGTGTGAAATTATTCAATGAAATTAATTTTTTAAGAAGCAACGAAATTTTCTTGTTTAATACTGGAAGATTATTTTTTTTCTAAAAATATGTGTATAATATATTGGATAACTATCAAAAACGATTTATGTATCGATATATATATATATATATATATATTTGTTCATTATCGCAAATATTCCATGTTAAAATTCCATGTTATTTCCTCCTTTATTCCCAATTTAATTATTTGAATGTTCAACAACCGATGGAATAAAGTTGGAAACAAGTGACACCGTTAAATGTAGATTGTATCATTTTGGAATAATATTCCCACATTTAGCCAGTGGCATACCCTTATCAAGAATTTGATACGCTATCAGTGTGTCATCGTCGGTAATAATCAGGGACGAGCATAGAGATTCATATTAATCACGTTGAAACTGGAATTGCAAGGATCACCTAATTCAACCTGATACAAATCCTCGCCTACTACTTTTGCTACTATACACGGTTGTTCGAATAATATGTCTAATCGTGATCGAATTTCTTCAAAAAGATTGCTGTACAGAGAATATTAAAAAGAAGATGGACTATTTAGAATTATAGAGATATGGATATAATCGCATTTATTTTCAACTTCCTCTTCTCCCCTTCCCCTCTTTTTCCTTTTTAAATATATATTATAAACGAATTGTGAAAAATTAGAACTTTCAAACTCATAAAAAATCTTGATTCGATTCTAGAGGCGAAAACAAACGCAAAAGTTGTGTGTACAAAAATATCGATCGAGGTTTATCGATTAAGTTACAAGCAATATAAGTTTACGTCGATGAAAAGAGGCTTACACTCCATTCCCGTCTCGCTTCGTCTAACTCAATTTGCTTGAATTGCTTATAACTTGATAAATAAGCCTCGACAACATTTTTACAGATCAATTTTTATTTTAACCTCAACGTAGAATCAACAAGAATTGTTCGTACAAATATAAACGACGATGATAATAAACAAATTCTAAAGTTTAAAATTACAAAAGTTCGAAATTTCTATCGTAACATACACGAATGACAAGATGAGAATATTCAGAAAGAGATAATCCTTACCCGTGTAATATCGGCCGGCCCGAGCCTAAGTTCTCAAGCGCACAGATGTTACCTCTATTGGCAAGAATAGGAAGCTTTTTCAGATGGATCCGTGGCCGAGCTGTGGTGCTCGCTAGTAGGGATAGTGCATGTTGTGTTCGACGTGTGTTGTAATGGGAGGGCACCGGGGGTTCAGTCTCTGATGATCCAGGTGGCAAAGAAGGCGAACGTGCTGAAGAGGCGTAAATCGAGGAATCGAATGGACGTGCAACAGCAGCAGCAGCAGCAGCAACAGTCGTTGCCGCCGGTCACGATATCCGGTGGCATGTCGAGCGGTGGCGCCACCGGTGACCAAAACGACAATCAAAGGATGGAGAACGAGGGAGACGTTATCTTCTACATGGAGGAACCGAAAGCGGGCACGCCTAATCGTGCTAGACGCGACAATCGGTGAGTGGAGATCGATTTGTATATATTTTTTCTTAATTTCTTAAGGATCCGATTATTTCATTAAATAAGTAACGTATAATGCCAACGTATAATGATTAACGTGTAATGATAGGTTAAGCTTGATTTAAGGTGATTAAACGAGAGAGATTGATTAAATTAGAAACTATAGACGGATTGTTTGATTAGAGTTGAAAGAAGGGAAGAATATATTGGGTTGTTGAATCATTTTTAGATAGATTATTGAAAATTTGGAATCTCATTAATGTATAGCTTGGAATTTGAGAATCGGAACATTTTGAGGTTAGAATGTTGTTAGTGCAGATACTTTTTCTGGATAAACTTTAAGTATATGTTTAATTGAGGTAATTTTTTAAGTTGTCGTTTAATTAAATTATAATAGACGCAAATTAAGTAAATAATTACGTTATTATTCGTATATATATATATATATATACACATACTTTCATTCTCATAATTTAGCTGCTTAATTTTGTAATTAATTTTGTAATTCGCTCCAGAGAGGGAAGCTAAAAAGCCGACTGACGCGCAATATAAATTTGACATTAAATAACTTGGTAGTTTTTAATTAGTAATAATTTTAATAATTTGTATAATTCAATATTTAAAATTCTTAAAAAAAAAGGAAAAACACAATTTTAGAAATAATCGTAAGTCGTTGAAAAATTATATTTATTTTAAGAATCGTCTATTTTTTTAATTCAAACTAGAGAAATTATTCCACATCATCTACTTTTCGATTCTATACATAACTTGCAGAATCTCTTCGTATATTAGAGAAACCAAAGATTTTCGAAATTATCGAATACAATTAAAACACTGTCGTAAAAAAAATTTCGTTTATCAATATTGAACGTGAAATATCAAAGTACAGCATAAGTTGTGCGTTGTGAAGAAAATCGGTGAAAACCTTTGGAAATTTCGCAGTGAAATAATAGATAGATCGGGGAAAGTTGGCGTGACAGGAAATGTCAGCCGGCTGAAGGGCACTTTCTCTGGAGCGGCTTTGAACGTCGTGCGAACTAGTTTCTCGAGTTTGGTAGTGTGAGTAGCGTATTTCCGGTTGGCAGGGGAAGCCTCTTCACCTCGCAGACGAGCTCCGTCACGGAGGCTACCAGCGACGAAATCGACATTGATATCGAGGAACCGCAGAGGGTTACCACGTAAGTACGCTTCTTCCTTATGCCATCTCGTGCGGATTTTCGCGCGGAAATATACCTAGTTTTAGAAGGAGAGAGATAGAACGTTTTAAGAAGGAACTAGAGGGGACGAGTTGTGAGTTCTATTTATATTGAAAAAATAGTTTGAATAGTATTTTGGGGGGGAGAGGAGATATTTAAAATATATTTTAAAAGAAAGAAAAAAATGTTAAAGCATAAATTTAAAAAATAGATTGAGTAGCTTACTTAGTGTATCTTGAAGCATTTTTTAAAGTTTGGAATAAGGTTTGCACAAATTGCTAATGTATCGAGTATTTCTTAAAGATTTCAATGAATAATTGTTGATACAATTTTATCAGCTTATTAAAGAGCTCTATTTAAATACAACGTGCTTTAAAAATAATTTTTAAAATAATTTAGAAAACTTATAAACTTTAACTCGGATTCTCAGATTGTGTAATAGAAATTTTTCAAAAGTAGTAGTTATCGTTCGATTATTTTTCGTTTGCGCATCGATAACAAACAACGTGGAAAATCAAGTGTTGACCAGAAAATCGTCTGTATCTTTATGCAAATTACTTTCATTTTGCATACAGGATCGATATTAACCGAAGAATTTTCGTCCGGCACGTACATACGTACTGGTCTCTACCGTGATACAACGCTCGAAATGGCTCGAAACAGCAATTCAAACTGGATCTCGTTAGTATTAAACGCGCTACGATTCGTAGCCTCCACATTCGATCGATCTTTGAATTCACCGCAAAGGAAATACATAAAGTGTGCGGCTAGCAGAAATTTGAATTGCGGTCGAGGATTGCTGTTGAAATACATAGTGATAACGGTAGCCTTTATGGAGAGATAAAAAGGATTTTCGAATGAGGATATTTTTACTTTTAATTTCAAATTGCCAAACTTCCCTCACGATAGATTTAATTTTAATATTCGATCGATATTTTGTTCTCGTTGCTTCGATCACATTCCGTAAAAAGTGGAAAAGAGAGAAAAATTGATTTCAATATCTCTGTTATATCGTTATATAGATTTCTCTTCGGTTTTGTTCGTTAAAAATCGGCCACGATCGACTCCTCCTATTTTCATTCAATGATTGTATCCTGGAACGAAGCCGAACGTATCCGATCCTTGCCGAATTAACGCGAAGTCGAATTATCCGCTCGATCGAACACCAAGCATCGATTAATCGACTGTTTCGATATCTCGCCCGAATTTTTCCGATTCGTCCCGAAGTTTTCCGACTTCTCATCGCAATCTATCTATCTACGTTTAACCAACCATTTTTTACATACAAAGAAATTATATTATTAAATTATATTATTTTCCGACTTCTCATTGCAGTCTATCTATCTACGTTTAACCAACCATTTTTTAAGTACAAAGAAATTATATTATTAAAAAATGATCTTCGATAAATCAACGTAAAATCAACGATCGTGTAAAAAAGCGAATCCATGAGAAGCAAATCTCTCGAGCTCGTGGCATTGACATTTCGAGGAAGTCTCCATTCTCGAAAGCGGAACGGAACGTTACCTCGCTCTCCTGAAAAAAAGCTCTTCTCTTTCTCTCGTCTGTCTCTTCCACTTCTCCCCCTCTCCCCTCGAAAAAGCACCGCATGTAAGTGCTTTTTTCACCGGTGCATTACTCCGCTTCACGGACGGCCTATATCCTTTGCTAGTCTGCCACTCGAACCTCCGACACAAAGACAAGTCGCGTTTCGAAGTTTCTCTGTTTTCTGTCTACGTTCTTCTCTCTCTCTCTCTCTCTTTTTTTCTTTTTTTTTTCTCTCCCCTTTCCTTCGTTTCGAAGCGTGAGCTTTCCAACAGCTTTGCCGTTGAAACGTGAAATCGTTTGTGAAAATAGCCGACTGGGTTTTTCGCCCAGCCACTCCAATTTTTTCCTGTGAATTAAGAATTTGTGCGACACATTTGTGAATGAAGAATTGAAAAATACCGAGTCGTTTAGAATGTGGAAAGAAGGGGTGGGGGAGGGGGTGGGGAAAGGAAGATCTCGTTTTAAATTCTTTCTATTGAAGCGCGGCCACACGGATGTTTTTCTTATTATTTTCAGGAAGATTGCGGAAGCGTGATTAATTTCTGGATAGAAGAAATGACGTAGAGAGTTTTTAGAAATTATCTCATTTGTAAAATATTTTTTCTTTTTATTTAGTATGAATTCTAGTTTCAACAATTTGATATAAATGGTCTCCTCCAATAAGTGCTATTGGAATTTTCTTTTGTCTCGAGTTAAAAATATGTTGGCCATTGCTTTTCGCGGAAAAGATCAAATTTGTAAAATTTTCTCGGCGAAAATTTGATATTTGACGATTCGTCGAAAAAAGAAAAGAAAAGAAGATCTAACAAATATTACTCTCGACAATAAGAGATGTTGGAATATCAATTGTTCGAGATCATTGTTAGATAACACGAATCCTTTCCCAGAAGATATATATATATATACACGAAATCTTTCTCGTGTTCCATTTTACGCTCCGTGGCGAGGGGAGCGTTGTTTGCTCGCGGTGAACCAACGTTGAAATCGTAAACAACGGATGAACGGCGGCGGCCACTTTTCCCCGTAAAGTCTCTGCGAAGAGTTGGGAGAGCGTAGGCGGATTGGTACACGCGTGTCGCGCCATAGCGGCAGCTACTTGAATCCGACGACGAAGTGTGTTTGCGTATAATTTGGTATATCGACAGGCGATGTTAGGCGAACGATCAATAACCGTTGTCGTTTTCTCTTGAGCCGATAATTATTTTACGATATATTGGTCGTGAAACGCGGCGATAAAAAGGAATACAACATCTCTCTTCTTTAATTTCCTTTTTATTTTTTTTATTCCTACTCTGTCCTTCTTATCTCGTTTATTGGTCAAATAAGAATTTTCGAGTGAAAATATGTTAAAATTTGATATTTGACGATTTTTCTTTTCGAAAAATTCTCTCTCTCTCTCTCTCGAAATTTTAAAAATAGAAACGAATTTCGAGTGACAAATATTATATTTATTATTGTCAGTGTAAAGAATATATTGAAATATACGTGAAATATAATTTCGCGCGAGATGGAGCTATAAGAAAACGTGAATCGAAGAAAAAAATCATCTTGCGATGATTTATATCATACTCGTTGATGCACGCTTGTGGCGAATTCGCTAAAGGTAGGATCGCTGTTATTTTCAGGTTGACGGAGGCGCATCGAAACGCCATAAGGGCGATCAGGAAGATCAAGTATTTCGTGGCCAGAAGGAAGTTCCAGCAGGCGAGGAAACCGTACGATGTACGTGATGTGATCGAGCAGTACAGCCAAGGCCACTTGAACATGATGGTTCGAATCAAGGTGAGCGGCGATCCTAATCCGCCTGTCCGACCGTTCACCGACCTATACCACTTACCGACGCATCGTAATGCATGTTACCTGTCCGATAAATGTCCGATCTACGCCACTCGTCGGACTGATCACGATCGATCTATATTATCTATCTATTCCTATTTCGTTTTTCTCCTCGTATATACAATTGATATTGATAGAATTATGGAATAGCGTAATTGTGTGTGATATTAAAGATTCAAGATCGCATGATCTATGATTGCATGATCGTTCAAAGATTAAAGGGGATGGGAGGGGGGAAGCTCGAGCCCCTTCTCCGACCTCCCGATACGAATATTAATGTTTACATGTTTGCACACGCGTATCAAATATCACGGCTAATCTGGAAACGGATAAAGAATCAAAGGGAAATACTTTTTTCAAATGTAAATCCTGGTTTAATAATTTCCTAGAATCATTCCTACTACTAGAAATCTGAAACGCGATTCTGATAACTGATTTACAAAAAAAAAAAAAAAAAAAGGAAAATCAACTCGAAGCGAAATATTTCACGATATAAAATAAATAAAAATAAAATAAAATAAATAAATAAATAAAAAATGTGTGTCTCGAATTATATCTGATCTGACTTCTTGATGGTTATTATCCGTGATAATGCGCATCGATTCTCTCCGAGGAAAAGGAAAGAAAAAGAAAAAAATAGAGAAATAAAAAGAAAGGAGGAGGAAAAGGACGGAACAAAAGGAGAGAGAAAATCGGTCATCGGAGGCGAGTAACGTTTAACATTTCGCGATAGAACGCGCTGCTGCGCCGCTGTGAAAGACAATGGCGGCCTGTGTTGTATCGTTTCTCATCGGGGGAAATGCAGATTGCGCGTCGTCGACAATTATTACGTCGCTGCCAATCGCTTCGAGCCGAGTAAAGGCCGCCGTCGACGATAGGCCAAGGGTCTGCGTTTAAACGATCGAGGGACCGTATTCAAAATGCAATTATATTTTATATATTATTTATTTTATATAATTATATATATTATATATTTTATATATGCAATTATATTAAGGGATAATCTTTTCGTCGATTTACAGAGTGCGTTGATATTATTTTATTTTCATGTTTTTTTTTTTTTTTTAGATTTAATTAATGTAATAATGGAATCATCGAACTGTGATACGTTGGTTAATGGTAATCATCATCTGTTCAATAATATTCTTAACAATTGGGCTAAGTTGAAAGTAAAGTTTTGTCGGAAAGGAGGATCATCTTTCAGGAGTACAATTTTTGCATGTTTCTACGCGAAGTGGATGTTTTAAGAATTTTTCTGAAATTTAAATTTTTTAAGAAACAAAGTCGATGCAAAATTTAATTTAAGAAAAATTAATTGAAGCGTAGATTTAATACGTATCGTAATCAATACGGAATTTTCTTTGAAGATATGTTTCAAGAAAGAAGAATAAATTTTACGAAAATTTTATTATCATTAAACGAATCGATTTCGAAAAATGATACATTTTTGATTATTGCAATTTCGTATTCATTATTCAATTAGAAACAAACGTTTGTCCAAATCTAGGTTTAATTATTTTAGAAGGCCGCGATAAATAATCCTCTTTGAATCCCAGGAAATGCACAATAGCGCATTACTATTACATTATCCGGAATATCGGTGTTCAACTAGGAATTGGAATTGTTTGACCAAATTCGACATAATCCACGTTCTATACGTCACGAAATATAATGCAATAATTTTCACTTAAACAAAATGTAAACGCGATTGTGTCTACAATTAATATCTTGATATCAAAAATTTTATTAAAAATGAACATTTTGATCGTTCGTCGCTTGGAAATTTCCTTCGTTTCAATTAATCGAGAAATTTAACAAAGAAATCTTAACAAAACGCGTTTACTTACTCATTCAAGACGTGTGTTCACAAAAATTTGCACAATAATTTTATTTGCAATGTTGAGAACAGTTTGCAAGCTCGGCCGGTAACGACGAGAAATGGCGCGATTATTCAAATTGAAACCATCGATCGATATGTACGATCCAATGTGCATAGAAAGATATTATTTGTTCGAGTTATATTGTTTCGAATGGGGATCAGGCTTTATTATATGATGCGTCGATAACATCCTTAAGCCTTCATGCTACGTTAAAATAACGTTTCCCCTCTTCTCATAATTCTCAACTTTATGGTATACGTCGATTCATTGTATCATCGTGATAAACTAATAATAGTTTCCAGGCCTCTAGAGAAACTTCGATTTATTATATTATCGAATTGAGATATTATTAGAGATATAAATGTAATGTAGTTTCTTGAAATCAATCAGGAGTACAATTTTTGCATGTTTCTTTCTGTGAAGTGAATGTTTTAGGAATTTTTCTGAAATTTAAATTTTTTAGAAAACAATGTCGATGCGAAATTTAATTTAATTTAATATCGATATTATCTTATTTAGAATTTTGAAAAAGGAGATTTAAATATGTGTGCATGTTTTCTAAATTTAATTGATTAAATTTTAATTAATTATTTTTAATTTCTTATATACAAATACTTTTCTGGTTTAAAAATTTAAAAAAAAAAAGGCTTTGACCGATTTCAAAAAGATGAATTAAATCTAATCTTTGAATAATCAAAAATCAAATTGCAAAAATTACTACTTCGAATTTAAAAATTTCCGAACTAAAATTTCTAAATATAATTTAATATTTTTCGATGAGTGTAATTTTATCCTCGAAACATTGAAATCTCTTGTCAACCTGTATCAATATTAATTTATCATCGGCATTGAACAAGTTCGCGCTATTTATCGTTACTTGTTGCCCGTGAAATGGAATTAATTAACAAAGCTAATTAAACGATGCCTCGACATAATTAATTTCGTCCCCCTCGATAATGCATCGACGTTTAATGTTGTTTTTCGATCGCGGATAATGAACAAGATAATGCAATATTCGCACACGAAAATTGGCTACGCTGTGCAATCCAATTAAACGTTTCTCGCGTCTCCATGTGTACGCGATAGAACATTCCTCTGCAAAACAAGTCGTAAGTTGTAGCTGAATTGTCGTTTGTTAAGTCTAATTGATTTGGATCCACGACTAAATAAACGTGTTTCGAAGTAGTGGAAAACCTTGGATACGTGTGTTCTTATAAGAATCGAAAAGAAATGTGAAAAGCAACGATTCGATATATATATATAATGAATATACAATAATTCAAAATTTTCTTATTTAAATTTAAATGTTATTGAAAGAATTATTGAGATGAATTCGAGAGAAAAATTGATAAAATTTGAATCTGATTTATGAGTATGAGATTAAATACAATAGAGATATTTAATGATAGAAATAGTCGAACGAGAGGAAAATTTATATTTTATGCTTTTAATATTAAACCAACTTAAACGATACCAGTGAATATTAAATTCCTATTAGAATTTCAGACTGCTGCAGAAATCTAATTTTCCTTTGAAATAAAATTATGTAATGTAGCTCGAAAAAGATCTCAAGAATTATTCCTCCATTATTTCTCTCGCGATTCTAAAAATATAATATGAAACAATTCTCAAATATATATATATATATACATTGTAAATGTAACGTTCCAGATAGTAAAATTGAAAAAAAGGAAACCGCTTATTTTTATTTAATTCTGCGCTACGTTATCTCGTTAAGCGTTTAACCTGCGCCTTTTCACAGGAGTTGCAGAGGAGATTGGACCAGACCCTGGGCAAACCGGGCAGCTACCTAGCAGGAATCGACCGAGCGGGGAACGTGAAGCCAATGACTATAGGCGCACGCTTATACAGGGTCGAGCAGCAGGTGAGTTCACGACCTTTTTTCCGGCTCTGTGTCATCTCTAATACTCGTTATTTTTTTTTTTCGAGAGTGAAAACTTTTTTTCACATACATATATATTCATTTTATTTATAGATAGTGATAAGATAATAGTATAAATTCAATCGTAAAATTTTGAACATCCCTTTTTCTCACTGATATCTTAAAAATCGATAGTTTTAATTTAAATTGGATACAGACACGAGATACTTTCAATTCTGATCGAACGTTGATTAAATGGATTCGAATTTTTTTTATGAATTATTAGTGATTGTAAATATTTGAATTCGTAAATTCGGAATAGTTCGGGAAACATCGGGAGAGATCGGTTGAGATCGGTTGAGATTTGGGTACTTTCATATTACGATGAGAAGTTCGAGTGGATTCGGCAAAGATCGGATACGATCGGTTTTTCATTGTACGAATAAGCGATATAAATAGATTGTAGATTTTTCCATCTTTGCAGAAACTTATTCTGTCGTAATAAAATAGAATTTTATGAAATGAGTCCTTGATATTAGATTTGACTTGGATTTGAAAATGTTAAACTTAATCCCATCGCTACAGTTACAAGTGGACAAATGAGAAAGATATAATTTTCAATTCGATGAAGGTCTGCACAGCTTTATGCTCAGTTCATTCAGAGCATTCAGTTTCATTTCGATCGGATTAACGCGGATACAATTGTATCACGATCTCCAATAGTAGAGATTAAAAAATTTGTTAAATTATCAATATATAGGTATCTGTGTCTAGAAAACATGAATATATTATTGAAATGAATTATTAAATTGCTTTTAAATTATTAGATCATTGAAATTAATCATGCAATTTGAAATATCTATTATCAACTCTTTGTCGAATCATATTACATTTCACATAACACGTTTTCATAAAGTACATCACCCATGATTATTATTCCTTTCAAATTCATCAAGCATTAACACATTTTATTACAATATAATTATATAAAGATTACAAACTACAATCATATCAAAAATTAATATGATTGTAATTATTGTAAAAATTAATATGATTAATAATATTTATACATTATATAATCTATTTTTCCTATAATTTTATACACTTTTGTAACAAATTTTAATTTTAATTTTATTTAAAAAATTTGAAACAAAAACACAAATACAACTTTTCCTATTTCTCCTCAAACTTTCCGAACAAACTACATTTATTAACTTTTCGTTCCCAATCTTCAAAATAAAATCTTCAAATGAGAAAAAAACGAGGAAAAAAAAAAAGAAAAACGAGAGAAAGTGAAAAGAAAAATACCTCTCTGTCCAGAGAGCAGAGATTCTTCTATCCGCAGGGACGAGCGAGAAGATTGTTTCTCACATGGAAACTATTTCTGTCCGCAGTTGTCCGTGATGGACAAGAAATTGGACCAGCTGGTCTACGTGCTGAACGCGGTGGCACAAAAGCAACAAATACCCCTGAGGAGTATAGAGGACGACGTGTAACAGAAAGCCCCCGGCGAGCTCGTGCCATCTATTTCGCGATCATCGGCAATTCCATGGACTTTGCCTCGTGTTACCATAACCAACGTCGCGGCGAATATGTTAAGCAAAAGCGGTTGAATCCGCGATCGGCCTTGTGCACTCGGCTGCAAATGCAGGGATCTTTCTTACCTACGCGTACATAGATCAAAGTAACATTCGAAAGAAACTGGAGATACTGGACGATTTTTGTTCTCGACGATTGTTTTATATTAGTTATTTATGGATTTCTTATTGCTTATTTGATTGTCGATTGAAGGATATTAAATGAAATGGAGAAGAAATGGATTAAGAAATGGATGAGGATTTGGGAAATTGAAAGAAACAACGAATCACGAAAACGAAAGAAAATGATGGAAAAAAATCGAAGTTAAAAGTTTAAGATAGATTTAAAAAGATTCAAGATTTCAAAAGTAAAAATTATGAAATAAGTGGAAAAGAAGAGATTGTGCAGTTATTGGATAAGGATCGATAATTAAGAATTTATAACGAATAAAAAAGAAGAATTGTTTAAAATTAAGATTTAATTGATACCAAAAACTTAACGAAAGTTAAAAATTTATATCTATTTTTAAATAATATGGAATCTCGCCGAAAAATCTCATTGAACTTTATACGAAAATATCCAAAGGATTACAAGAAAAAAAATCATCTTTACTTTTTGCATAAATCTGGAACCAAGAATGAATTAAATATTATTCAATTTTTAAATTATTCAAATATTTAATTCAATTATCATAAAAAAAACGAATAAGAAAGATAGTACCTGAACATTCAAAGCAAAGGATCTATATATAATCAGAAAATCGTCCAATATACAGAAACTCCTTTATAATCGCAAAGAAACCAAACTAAAAAAGAAATAAAAAAAAGAAAAAAATAAAAAATATAAAAAAAAAGTTTTCTTTGACATTGTTCGTACCTCGTCTTAAAGAAAAGAAAAGGAAAAAAAGAACTAGAAAGTAAAAAAAAAGATTCGTAAAATCCTCCAGCCCAGAGGGCGCTTATCTCCGGGAAGAAATCGATCTAGATCCTATAAAAGAATTTGGCAGGAGCAAAGCTCACTTTAAACGTCGTCGCTTACATATACTTCCTCTACTGATACTGATCAGTGGTCCTCGAAGAATAGCTTTCATAAAACCGATCACGCTAAACGCACAGGAATGATTGTTCTCTTCGAACAAACTTGGGAACCGATGGAACAACGTTGGGAAAACGTTGGAACAATATAAAGTTAAATAATAAATTGAAAATAAAAATAATAATAATAATAATAATAATAATAATAATAATAATAATAAAAATAATAATAAAAATAACGAAAAACAATGGAAAATATATTCATCATGTCGATCGTGAGTTCTCGATATATAATCAGGAGAGATCGATGTTTTTGGACGATTTAAAAGCAAACGCATCGAAAGATCGATCGATAAAAAGGTGTTTATATGGTAGAATGGTGATAAGTCGATCGGTAATAAAGAATTTGTTCCGAAAAAGCAGTTTAGGTACGCGAGAGAAATGAATGCAAACGTATTGGGAACATCACTTGGGCCAACTAGGAATAATAGAGAGGAACAATAAGCAAATATAAAGAAAAACTTCCTAGGCGAGATATATCTCTATAGGCTATACATAATATATTATATATATATATATACACATATACATACAGATAAAACTTCTAGTCTCTGCTGGTAATAACGATCAATTATTAAGCCTTAAAATTAATCACGAACTTTGAATATCTTATTGCTAATCTAATTAGAAAGGAATCGAAATACATATGTGTATAACTGCGTGTACCAATGGGTACATGTATTGTACAAATACGCGGTATCGAGTTCTATATATACATTGCTAGAAAATGTTTTTTTTTCCCTCTCTCTCTCTCTCNTCTCTCTCTCTCTCTCTCTCTCTCTCTCTCTCTCTCTCTCTCTCTCTCTCTCTCTTTCCTTTCGATTTTTAGCACAAACGCGCCATCTTATATTGAATACGCGAGAACGTTACACATATATATATACGTTGCATATGAATGCTTTGAAAAATAATAAAAATGTTGAAATAATATCGTCTCCTCATACGATTGTAGCGAACAGATTTTTATTATAAAAAAAAAAAANNNAAAAAAAAAAAAAAAAAAAAAAGATCGCATCACCCTGTTCGATATGGGTGTTCGTTCCTTTTGCGAGCTGCAAATTCTTTTGGGCTTGCATTTAGCGATCTTTCAAATAGTGAATGAAGCAATATTACTTGGATGTACAGGATATTCGAGTTGCTGTTTTTAAATTTTTTTTTTTATTATATTAGATTTTTTTATATAAAAAAAATTATTAATTGATGATTGAATTAATTATAAAATGACAGTATTTGAATCATTTTGATCTCGTTCGTAATATTGTATATGTCTTTCGGAAATATGTTTTGTTTCGTATTATAAAGGGGAATGGAACACGCGATGTAAATAGAATCGCTCGTCGCTTGTATCGACTGTGTGATTCGACCGCGACATTATGCTCGAGACCAGAAAGAGCTACGCACGTACGTCGTACGAGAGTGCGTATCAAATAATTTTAATCTATTTAAAAATTGAAATAATAAAAAAAACTATTAATAAAATATTGAAAATTCAAAACAACGGTGCGTGAAAAAGGAAATTTTAATAATAATTGGAAATTATTTATTTTCAAGAATAAAATTCGGGGAAATATTCAAAGAACTTTCATTCACACATTTCCACATATTTTTTTATTGCTTTAAATAAAACTGTCGTTATATCACGAACATCCTGTATAAGCCCATACCGCTCGTGGACGTATATAAAACATAAAGAATCTTACATTCTAGTATGCCACGAAATATGTGAAAGAAACAATGGCGGTGTATATATACATATTTCAAGAGTAAAATAATAATAATAATAATAATAAAAATAAAAAAGAGAAAGAAAAACAGAAAATCGGATTATATTCTGCATATATATACATATTATGATATAAATACATTTATATTTTCTACGTAGGTTATCGAATACGTATCGGCACGTAAAAAACCGTTATTAATCGACACCGTTAAGATATTATATGCGTAAAACTCACGTCTAATTTCTAAGCGATTTGTGTGTATGCGTGAGTGTGCGTGATGTAGTACAAGAAACATTTTCCCACTTCTTATTTCTCATCCTTCGTTGACCATTCGAGTGTAAAAGAATATAAAAAAATTTAAATATGAAGAAAAATAACCAAATATATTTCTCTACAAGGCTTAATAATCTGCAGTGATTATACTAATAAATTAAACAAACAAGATCACATTTCAAATTATTTGAAATATATTCAAATTATTTGAATATATAAAATTTTAATAATAATTATTATTATTTTAAATTCCTAAAGATTTGCAAAGTTCTTATACGTGCAAATGAATGACTAATTTTATTTGTTTATAACATCCTCTATCCTTTCCAAATCTAGAAGCTGCTAATCTAGAAACGATCAAAATAACCACTTGTTTAAAAGAAAAGGAATTTTAATAATTAAAAAAAAAAATATTCATTTATTCAAGAAGAAAGAATATTATCTCAGAATATCAATTTTCTAATTCTTTAAAATAGTTAATCGATTGGAATAACTATTATTGAAAGGAATAAAACAAAAAAAAATTTTTCTCTCGAATGGTTGAAATCAACGGGCATCCTTTATCTTATTTTGAAATTCTATATTGTTCGTTTTCGCGAGACACACGAAATCTGATCTCTCGAAATTCACGAAAGTGTTTGCAAAGCGTCTCGTTTTAATCTCGACTACTCACGACTACACACACACACATACTCTCTCTCTCTCTCTCTCTCTCTCTTTCATCTCGAAGGTTTAATCGATCTCTCTGCGCGGGAAGGACCAGTCTCTTGTTAACTAGGATTACATTTATCGTCGAGCGAAATATTGCACTGAAAATATCTATCGTCTTAACTTATATTAAAGTAATGCAAATTTGTATATAATATATATACATATATATATAATACATATAGCAAGGTAGGAAACAATTTCTCAAGCGAAGCTGCTTTTAGGAGTATTTTGAAATCGAGTGGGCGGAAGGAAGATCGTGTAAGCGCTTTAATTCCGTGTCTTTTAAAATTCTTCGCGCTCTTTTATATAATACATTTCAAATTCTTAATTCGTTTTAACAAATCGAAATTTTGAAAATATTTTAAAAAGAAAGAAATTTTCGATAAATTATCTTCAAAAACTGTTTGAAATAAAATAACTTTTAATTATTTTTTTTTTTTTATTAATTAATAAAATTACATTTTGGAAGAATTTATTATACGATAAGAGCGTAAAGGATTCAAAAAAAAATTAGACACATTTTATTCCTTGACGATATTCGAAGAATTTCTTACGATTAATTATAATTATTAGTTCAATTGTAAGAAATAGGTTCTTTTTATAATTAATTGTTAACAAGACACAGAAATTCTAGTCAATCCATCGATGTACCATTAATAATTTTTATTTCCACGATTATATCATAATTCAACTTGCTCGCAATTTGATGGAATTTTTCGTTTCGTGAAAAATGTCGATAAGAGAATGAATGGGGAAAATGGAAGAAGAAGAAGAAGAAAAATATTCTGTAAAACGAGCATGATAGTACGATATAAAAATTCTATGGTGCCTCTCACTTAACTAATTCCACTATAACGCAATTGATAAAGAAGGATAGAATATTAGGCTTAAGATAGAGTTGTAAATAAAGTAGACGATATCGTAGGATTATTAATAAATTAATAATATAATAGTGGCAATACTATAATAGGTAAACGCTCCAAAGTTGAAGCACGAATTTTTCTATTTCGTAAAACAAAACCCGCTCGACGTTCATTTTCTTTCATTCGTAAGTAAAACGTTTCTCATTCAGTATAAATAAATAAATAAATAATAACAATAGAAAATTTATATATGAAAAGATATAAATAAAAATTCGATAAACTATAATTTAAAAAATATAGGATGAAAAATATAATTCTTTTTATTGAAGTTTATGATTTTATTACAACAATATAAAAAAGATTATAAATTGCATTCTTATAAATATTACATATATTGGAAAATATAATAAGAATTAACAAGGTGTGCATGCAATTTTTCTTCCACTCTGATATTTTTTTTTTTTTTTTTTATTAAGAATTTTTTATTAAGAATACGTGTAAAATATTCAAGATTGTGTAAATGAAATTAAAAAAAAAAAATTGTAAGTATTCTAATAATCAGGGATTGAATTTTAAGTTTCGAAAACTGAACGAGAAACGTTTTTTAAGAACTGTTTACTTATCCTGAAATCGAGTCAGTTCAAGTTAGACGAAACGAAGGAAACGTTAAAAGAATTATCGAATATTGAAAATGGAGCATCACTCGATGATTATATTGCCGACCATGAGTAGAGACAATCAAACAATGTTGAATACGCGCATAAACAATAAATATAAAGATTTCGTTTTTAACAATAGAATATATATCCTTGAGATTAACGATTCGAATATTCGAACACTTTTTAATTATGCAAAAATACTCTGGGAACATTTATCGTAAATTAATTAAGTAATAATCTCGGGACAACAGTGTGAAAGAATCGAGTAACTTTGAAAATCTTAAACTCGAGAACTTGGTTGTTTTTTGAATTTCGAATTTCTCCGAATGTTCTCTGAATCATCCGTTACCAGTTCTGGATGGAAAATTTTATTCTTAGTATAATAGAAAATTTATTTATCTAAAATGGAAAATCATATTTGATTAAAATTTAAAAATATGAAAAAAAGAATTAAATAAATTTTATCAATATAACGAATCGTGTTATTCTAATTGGATTTCGAAGATTGAAATTTAATAATATCTTTTGGCAAAAAAAAAATCTTAAGAATTTTCTTTCATTCGTAAATATCATACAATCTTTTCCAATCGTGAATGTATAATAGTCTGGGCCGGTTGCCTATCTATAGGCGTCTTTACCAAAAAATCATATTATCGAAACTTTATATGTAAAAAGAGATCATACATTATTTATCACTTTCAATTGTCACGCTTTTTAGATTTTATTTTTTAAAAATGAAACAATATCATACGAGTTTAAGTAATAAAAGNGCGTCTTTACCAAAAAATCATATTATCGAAACTTTATATGTAAAAAGAGATCATACATTATTTATCACTTTCAATTGTCACGCTTTTTAGATTTTATTTTTTAAAAACAATATCATACGAGTTTAAGTAATAAAAGTTAAGTAAAGTAATAAAAGTTAAGTCAAGTAATAAAATACGAAAAACTGTCCCCAGAACTGGTAACTATGATTCTCTGAATAATTTTTATCTTTCTCGCACGAATTATCCACCTTGTACGGCCTCCTTTCTCGACAATATATATATATATCTCGAATAACGTGAAATAATTTCATTTTCACTTCACTTTCTGTCACGTTGCTTGTCTAATGTATTCCTGCCGTGTAAGAGTCAACAGGATGAATAAACTACGCGTGTATTTTAAATCCGTGGTATAAAACGAGCGAAACGAGGCGTCCAAATGTTCTTACATATTTTACAACCGTATTCGTTTTTTTTTTTTTCGAACAATATTCTAACTGGACCACCGATAACTATAATAGAAAACGTTTAACTTGAATAAAAACTTAAAATTTAAATTAAAAAAAAAAAAAAAAAAAAANAAAAAAAAAAAAAAAAAAAAAAAAAAAGAAAGAATCAAATTGCGCGTAAATATAATATCATGTATATTCGTATAACACGGTAGTGTTCATCGATGCTCATCAAAACTGTAGTGATTAAACGAAGAGAAACAACATCAAAAAGAACATAAAAGAAGGATATTGAAGATATTTTAATCCCTTAACACTGAAATCTGTCTTCTTTCTTCGTTACATATTTTTTTTTCTATAATTATAAAAAAAAAAATATAACGATTATTAATAAAAATAAGTGTATAATGGGGAAAAATGAATAAACAATTATATTTATAATATTACAAAGTGTTAAAGGATTAAAATAAATTTAAAAAATTTTATTAAATCACAGGAATAAATTATTTCGTAATTGAAACGCGTTAGAAATATTCGCTTGAAAAAAAATCGTAGATCGTGCATGATCTTCGTTTGCAAAATTCGATCGATTTATTTTTCTTATTTATTCCGAGCAATAGAGAGAGAAAAAAAAAAAAGGGATTATCACGAATTGTAAAGGAAATGTTTAAAGGGTATGTACAAAAATATATATATATACATATATACATATATATAACACATCACCCTTTTCATAAATTGTTATACGATTTTTTACATTTACGATTACGATTTTGTAACTCGTGGCTTGATTGAAAAAAATTGTAAAACATTTATGACGAGGATTTCGAGAAGCAAGTAGTGTTCGCGAATCGGCCGAAAATATATACGTGTAATGTGATTATTAATAAAACGTTTAACGTGTATAATCGTGAAACGTAAATAAATAGATAATATAATATATACATATATACATATACACGCGCATGTGCTTCGTACATAATAAAAACAAATATCGTATGTATTCGTTGATATTCGATCGAGAAATTATTAAACATCATAATTTAAAACTTCGTTTTAATGCTTTGCGCCTCGGCTATAGAAACGATTAAATTGTTAATCGAACGTAAGAAAAATTTCTGAAGGAAAAAGTCAGATTTTATCGATAATCGATTAATCGAAATTGGAATTTTTCATACAAGGGAGAGCGTTTTTCAAATTATTCTTCGAGTGATTTATGAAATTTTTTTTTCATATCGAATCTATTGCTCTCCAGTATAAGATTAACGAGATGTTCAAGAGAATAATATAGTTTAAGTTACGGAAATTGATGTTATCAAGTATCAAATATAATAAAATAAAATAAATCGAAATCTTTCGCATCGAAATGTATATTGACTCTTTCGAAAAAGTAGATGGAAAATTTTAAGAAGTTTAAGAGACGAAGAAAAGAATAAGGAAAATTGAGAGGTTAAGTTTGCTTTAATCTCGAAAAGTTCGTTTCAACGGACGAATTAACAATTAAATAAATAACTATATATGGTAAAACTTTTTTTTTTTTTCAGAGTTTCTCGTGCCCTCGAGTTTTTTTCATTCGAATTACTTTTTAATCACGGACAGAACGTTTAATGAAACGCCACTTGCGTGCAACTGCGACTAATTACTCGCAATTAATTGAAAGATACGGAAGAATGATGATATAATTGGACGTATTCTATTAAGTAATATTTGTGAATGGGATCAAATTGGATGAAGACTCTTCAAATCCATTGTAACGGAACAATTCATTGTATTTATTATATTGATGTTGAAACGAATATTTCAAAAGATCAGAATGGCGTGAAATTTGAATATAAAACTTTGAGTGGGATCGTGAAACTGTTGAAACGAATGATCATGAGATGATTAAGTTAGGTTAACTTTTTTTATTTTTCTTTTTAAAAAGTTTCAAGAATTAATAAATATTTAAAGAGTTTTGATTTGACTGAAATTCTTCGTATTCAGAATAGTTAGATTAATTAATCTAAATTAACAACAAAGAAATTGCAGAGATATCGTATAATTTAAATTCAGCCGAGCGTGAAACGTTAAAACGATAATTTTGATCGGTAATTTATTAAAAATGGATAATTAGAATTATGAATAACAATTTCACGAAAATTCTGCTGTTGCTCGCAGCTTGCAATTAGAACATGTGATAACCGCTATATTCGAAACTTCTTTATTTATTCGAAATTCATTTATTCCTTCTATTTGCTCGAAATTATTAGAAACATACGTACATACTCGCGCTAGTTAAAATTAAAACTTATCGATAGAAGGTAACAAATTTAAAATTATCTATTTATCGAACGAGCAAAGAATGCAAAGAAATATCACTTTTTTCTCATTTCGTTTGTAATTCGAAATAATGATCTTTCTCTGATTCCAAAATTATTCTTTTTTCGAGTTTTATCCTATATAGATCAAAAATATTGGATAAATCAATAATTAAGTGAAGATAATGAAGGTAGCTCTAGACTTTCTTTTCTATTCACTTATATCGTGCTATTATTGGATAATCTTCTTCATTTATCTTTATTTCCTTTTAATCTAGTTTATAATATCTTCTCTTATATCATTATATAAGATATAATAAATCAAAAAAATTTATTATCCTCAATTTCAACACGATATAAGATTC